CACTTTCACTGTTTCACATATGTAGCTCGCATCATCACTTGCACGGTTTAATTGTTGGGTGTTAAACTTTAACACCCCAACAATTAAATTAATGTTTTAAGCAGAGTTTAAACTTTGACAAATAAACAAATTAAAGTCATGCAGGTTACATTGCAATATAAAAACAGTTTTTGAATACTTTATTTTAGAAGCTCTACTCAAACGCTAAGTAGCTGCTCCAGCGGTTCTCCGCCTCCACCCCATTCTCCTTATCTATATTATGGGCTCCACTCGACCACTCTTGTGTTCACCACCAACATTGACGCCCCGTTGACGCGGAAGACGGCGAGGCTCCAAAGAGGTTTGCCATAAAGCTCATGTCCTTGTCGTGGGATTCAGCCAAAAGCGGTGGCCACTCACGGTGTTCGTTCTGCTCGCCGGCCGGGAACACCACCATGGCCGTAGACTGCTGAATGTTACCACCACGGGCGTCAATGTTGTTCTGTTGTGGCGGGGCAAGGCTGAGACCGCCGAAGTATTCATACTTAGAGCCCGTTTGGAGACCCCTTTTTTCGGCTTATCAGGCTTATCAGTCAGCTTTTTCACCAAACACGTAATTTTTACTTTCGCGTGCTGAATTGTGTAATAAGCAGAAAAAGTAAGGTTGGAGTTACTTTTCTGGCTGTATTGGCTGAAGTTACTGTAGATGACCATTTTAGCTATTTTTACATGTAATTTTTTCTTTATTTTATTAATAAAATATATTTTTAAAATATTTTTTTCTAGAATCAGCAGAATCAGCCAAAACAGCCACTTCAGCCAGAACTTCATAAATTTCAGCAGAAACAGCCAAAACAGCCGATTTTTGTGCTACCAAACGGGCTCTTAATATAGTTCTCTAGAACCATAGGTCTCTTCTTATTCCCGTTATCGGTTAGGCTGCCGCTCTCTTTGAGTTTTTTCTTGGTGAACTGCCGCCTCTTGGTTGTGTTCCAGTGGTTTTTGAGCAAGTTGTCCGACCGGCCAGGAATACACTTCGCGATCTCCGACCACCGGTTCCCAAGTAGCTCATGTAATGCCAGGGGCGGATCCAGGATTTAATGTTGGGCTGGGCTGCATCGACATTGAACGACTCATATGAATTTTTTGGATCAAATGAAACACTCAAAGAAAGGAGTTCCACTGATTTATCATTAAACCGGGTCGTTAACTCCATGAATAAAAGTATATTACCTCATTGAACACATCAAAGTAATAATGCTTCTCAATTGTAGTTTCTTTTCAGCAATGACCAACCATATATTTAGAAATTAGAATTCAAGTCTGGTGCATGAATTTATTTTTTGAGAAAAACTCATTTACTTCTTCAAGAAAACATTTCCATCTATGAGTTTTGCTAGGTGTGCACAAAATGTGTACACAAAATGTGTACACATGTCCGTCCTTCATATAAATTTTGTCCCAAGCATGAAAAATGTCTATATACACTACAAACTAAAGTAAATCGAACACAAATTCAAAACATGAAAAATGTCTATATACACTAAGAACTCACTTTTGGGCAATTAATGTTGTTGAAGATACTCAAACACTTTACAAGTTCATGTGAACATGCTAATCAAGTTCTTAATTGAATCATATTTTATTGTATTTATTACATTGATGCTTTGTGGGCTTTATGGCCAATATACTATAAATTAAGTGTCACTTATTAAGTGGGAGGTGATGTGTATAACATTTATATTAGATTTTTATATGGTAAGATTTTGTTTTATAGACTAGGCTGAAAAATTGGACTGGGCTATACAAAAACCCGGGGTGGGCTAGATGGAATTATGTCAAAATAATACCTTAAAAAAATTATTATTTTTTCCTTTGCCCTGGGCTTCAGCCCACCATAGCCCTAACATAGATCCTCCCCTGTGTAATGCCACCAATCTCCTCTCCTCTTCCTCCGTCAATGGGTTTTTCTGCAAATTATTGGTTATTAAAATGAATATAATTGAAAAAGGAAGAAAAATCTAGAACTCGAAAATAAGTGGAAAAGATGATTCAAAAATGAAATGGCCAAAGTGATCCTAGAGGTGAATGGGACAAAGGATCAAATAGGTGTCAGCCCGGTCAACGATGTGATAACCTAGTCAATGTTTAAATATTGAAAAAAAATGAAACATAAAATATGTATTACAAAGTATTATATACGAAGTATTCCATTAAAGTTTTAAAGTCAAGAATTACTCTCATTTAATAGATTATAGTAGTAATGGCTATAAGAGTAAAATAAAATTATTGTACCAATTTATAAAGTTTCCTTAAATAACTCAAGATGTATGTGGAATTATATGGATAATATGTGATCATAATATTTATAAGAGAATTATCATTATGATTGATAGATGTGATGAATATTTCGTAAATATGATATAGTTTATTAACATAAAGTTAACAATATCAATAAAACTAGTTTTAATTTTGATTACTACTTAATAAATATTAATAGGGGTAATGCCTTAAATTGATGTAAATAAAAGCAAAATTGCAAGAATAAGACTATAAGTATTAAATTCTCTAAATGGGAGTAACTCCTCGTATACTACCATTTTCAATTTTAACAAGTTCATCGTTTTCTTATTAATAATTAATCATAAAATAATTAAAATATTTCATTTATTATAAAAAATTATTCCTCAAAATTTAAATAAATTAAATTAAAAATAGAAAATGAGAATTAAAAACAAATAAAGTAATAAATTAAATTCCTAAAAAAACAAAAAAGTATACACAAGTCCAAGTCCTCGTCTCTGCCACTTTCTAGCACTGTCGGCTTCGATCACTTGAAAAATGCCACCTTGAATAAAAATACCATCTTAATTTATGAAAATTTCAGAGCATGTTGTGGCATTTTCAAACAGCATGCATGTTTATAACATTTTCATTTTCACAGAAAAGTGATTTTTTACACAAAATGACAATTTCTTCTGACGGTCAGAGGTGACGGTGGTTGGAGGTGGCAGAGACAACAGAAGATCCCTCCATATTTTTACACTACTAGAAAAAAGACTTTTAACAATGAAAAATATTGTCGTTATAGGCTCAAAAGTTGGTCGTTAAAGCTTTTAACGACCACTTTATTTTCGTCGTCAAGTGGTTGTTATAGCCTCCGTCGTTATTGGTTTTAACGACAAAGTTCGTCGTTAATAATTAACGACGACACTTGATACCGTCGTTACATATTAACAACAAAGTTCATCGTTAATGATTAACAATGACATAGGATATCGTCATTACTTATTAACGACAAGAAACTCACTCGTCGTTAGATAATGACGAAAAATATAATTGTTCATTGTTATCTAGAAATACAATATATATAACCGTCATTATTTGTATACATCTTTTAACATTATTTTTTTTGCAAGAATTTTAACATTATTAATTATCCAATGATGACAACATTTTATAATAGCAATCACAACCTCTACTAAATACCTGTTTGAGAACTGCATATTTAGTTTTAAAAATCATATAATATTGATGCAATAGTTTATTATTGATTAGAACTAAATGAAATAAGTTACTTGTGCGTTCAACAACTCATATATTCCAAACTTTTAATTTTTCAATACATTAAATTTAACGAAAAAATATCTTGTAAATATAACAACTATTGTAAGTTGATACAATATAATCATCATCCACATAAATAAAATAAAATCTCAATATGTAATTGTAAAAATACATATGTATCATTAACTATATGAAAAAGTGAGTACTAAATCAAAATTAAGTATGTAGTAGCTCAATGGCATTGCTGCGCTGCAACTGCAGTTCTCATCTTTAATACCTACAAAAAGAGCATAGAATTCAGATTTTCTAACAAAATGGAGTATAAATACTTTTTCTGCTTTGTCTGCCAATAGTCGTGTAAACCAGAAATGAATTAACAAATACATACTACGTATGAATCAAGACCTACTCCCTGCCGTCCCATGACCAGGAATAAATAAAGCATTTCTACCCATTATTCTTATTGATCTTCATTCTAAGTGAGCAAATAAATAACGGCTATATTCATCTTAAATGTTGTTTCGGCTGGATTGCTCATTTCTCAAATTGAAAGAGAAATAATATGCTTCTTAAATAAAATTATATATATTTCCCAATAGCATAAGTCACAATAAACGATGATAAATTCAACAATAAAGAGTGATTAATTCTTACTTGAATATATTATTAAAACCCCTCACTCCGATCTTGAGATTTGGACTTAAAAACCTTTTGTGCTACCTGTATATGAGAAGAATACAAGCTGAATATCACACAACATGAATTGTGGCTGCAACACTAAAAAAATGCTTACAATGTCCAACTTTCGAAATCGATATGCTAGGCAAAAATGGAGAAATAGGAAAATATACCTCAACATTAGAAAGTGAAGGATCTTTTTCCATGGTTTCACATGTTTCTTCCTGCAAAAAATAACGACCATAAACAAGAAATCAGAATGGAACTGCAGATAGAAAACCAGAGTTATTCCCAACAAAGTTACTGCAGATAGAAAATCAGATAGTGCCTAAGGCTCTTCATTTAACTACAGTCTGTGAGCCCTTTTAGTTGCTTCAAGATATGTAATTAGCATCTTTAAATTATTATTGGGCGAGTGGGCTGTTAGAAAATCAAAAGGAACTAGGCAGCCCTTGAATTTTTTGCTGAGCTAGATCTGTTTCACTTGTGTTTATGCAAATCTTCTATGTTTACACTAAAACAGAGCTATCTTGCTATCAAAAGATAAAGAAGTCTAACAAAAAGATAAGCAAGACACAAACATGGAGAAAGTGAGGCAATTTTAACACTTAAATTCATCATCAATGCATTTTTTACACTTAACACTATCAAATGAGGGCTGGTGTGAGATGTCATTCCTTGCAGGACAATTTTGCCACACGATATTAACTTACAATAGAGAAGTACAATTGATTGACATCAATTATCAATTCTGGTTACTTCTGAAAACTAAAGAGCTGCAAGCCTGCAACAATACTAGTTTTTATGTACTCTATTGCATTGGATTATAGAACATATGCTCCCTCACATTTTCTGTGTCATTAATCATTTGCTATCCTTTCAGATAGTTTAACTTTTTACTCACTAAATCTGGAAAACACTGAATGTAGTACATCTGGGTCCTGGGATATGGCTAGAGATAAGAAGCAAAGCTTGTTTTTTGAATATATGAGTTGCAAAGGGTGTCACTTGTTACCATTGAGATCTTCTACAATTGTCTGTTCTACATCCACTTCAGTTTCACCACAATCACGAACTTTTGTCCCGCTCATACTTTCTGGCAAAGTTTTCTTTTTGTTAGTACAAGAGTCACCACCCTTCAAACAAAACAAAGACTGAATTACTAAAAGAGTAAGAGAAAAAAATAAATATAAGCCATTTATTATAAATGAAAATTTTACCAATTGGATATTGGGAAAATGTCGGATCTACCTCCAATTCACTAGCATCATCCAAAATACTTTTGCCTCTCTTTTCCTATCCCATTACCGTATAAGCCAAAAAATGGTTTGAAGTATTAAACCAATTAAGCAAAAATAACTATAAATAAAAATACTACCTCCGTCCCAATTTGATGATACCATTGCGGTTGACGAAGTTTGACTGACGATAAAGCAAACGGATCCCTGTTCGCACTCAAATTATTTTTAGAAAAAAAACATATTCAGAAACTATATTAAAAACTTTACAAAGTCGCAAACACCTGGATTAAATTTGATTAAAATTTAATACATAAAGTAAGAGATTAAGAGTGATTTGTGTTGACCAAAGGAGAGAGAAATGGTACCATCAAATTGGGACGGAGGTAGTAATTATTAACACCATCCTCTTACCATTACTCTCTCTAACAATTGTCTGATAAAACTCTATTTCATTATGACTATCATCATCAACAATAATTCTCACTCTCCTTTTTCCAAATGCAGCATTCATATTATAAGTAAAAGATCCACATATTTCAACCATGGGAAAAATTGGATTGAAGTATTAAATGATAATACAATATTAGAATTTTAAAATCAACTATTTAATGCCAAACCTTTATCATTTGAATCTCGGAAATCCTCCGGATCCAGACGCACTTCACTTCCATCAACGTCATCAAATATGTTATCACCCTCATAAAAAAAATTGTCCCACTCGTACTCTGAGCCAGACTTTTCTTCTTTGCAGTACAAGAGCCACAATCTTTCACTACAAAAAAGTTAAACAGTGAAGTGTCTACTGCTTGTGTTATTATAATAAGTTTGTATTTGGTGTTGCCATTTAGTTTTCTTCTATCTCAAAGTGAAAGAAATTGTGTTGTTCAGAGAAAAATGGTGGAAAGTTTTGAGAAACAGAAGCTAGAAAGATATATGTGGTTCATGGTAACAGTGAAGGAATTCCAGATTTTCATTTGGTTCATGGAAATATGTATGTGGTTCATAGAGGGAATTTATTCAGAAAAGGATGAATTCTGGTATACAGTATGCTAGAAACCACTTAGAGAGTGTTTCTGTCTCCCAGACAGCCCAACCATCTAACTGAAAGTCTGCCCAACTTTTAATCCCAGCTCCCACGAATATATATATAATATTCCCTCCACCCAGCCCTTCTTACTTTATTACATGTTTCAGACTCCTCCTCTTGTACACTTTATCAAAATAAGTCATATGGTCGTACTTATTATTAGTACTAGGATGGTCCTTATCAAGTTTGGATGGCCACCAGGAGCCCATGCAGGGTTCATGGCACAGAAAAAAAGGCTAGAGGCAACTGTTGGGCATGGAATGCCTGAGGATGATGGCAGAATCCATGCGCTGACTTTTACTGTCAGTGACTACAATAGGATGTGGCTGCTTTAATTTGATAAATACACATGTATATTGTTGTTTCCCGATTCAGTTTCTTCCTTGAAATAACATTCATTGGGTGTCCTCGCAAAGCAACTATTTTAGATTTTAAAAGCAATTTACTATCTTAAGATGAGTTTTTTATTTTTCAAGTTTCACATTTCCTTGTTCAAAAAGTAACCCTTAACTATTCCTTCTTTTCAGAAAAACTAGAATTACAGAGGCTTTATTTTTGGGGGAAAAAGTTAACATTTACATGCTACTAAGATTTCTTACAAAATTAAGAGTAAGTTACTTTTATTAACATGTATAGAAAAGAGTTAACTAGCAACAACAGCTGCTAAAATAATGTACGAAACCACATGTTATTTCCAGTGTTCTCTCTCTATGGAAGGCTATGATAGCAAAAAGAAGGCCCTCAGTTCAAGGACCTAACTCAGACCTGCTTGATTAAATCAATGTTTTGGTCTTTATAGCAGAAGTTCTATATATTTCTTTTTACCACAACATAAGTTCAGATAATTGTTCGGCCCAGGGATTGCCCTAAAGGTGCAAAACCTCAACCCCACCTGCAATTGGATCATTGCCTCAAGCTCTCCACAATGTAAGAAACATACGAATCGTCTAATCCATAGAGTATTCATAGCATTACAGCATCTTCTGCAGGCAATAAGTCTTCCAGTGCCATAGATTATTTGGTAAAACAAATCAATTTACCTTCAATTTTCATTTTCATTTTCTTTTTAGTGCTAATGTACCATATCAATCTATGTGAAAATCATTAAAAAATATAAATAGTAATGATTTTATAGGTAATACTTTATATAATACCAACATAACAGGATGAAAATGTAAAAGTTAATACTTCAAGTCATTAGTGTATTGAAAATTAACATATAAGAACAAGTTCATTCTGTAAAAATTCGGATAATATAAATACAGAAAATATATGTATTCTACACCAATTTCCGATTCAATGATTTAAAAAACCAGCGAACATAAAGAGTAAAATGATCAATGATTTAGCCAAGAAAATCAACAAAACAAACCAGCCAAGGAAATCAACCAAGCAAATCAGCCAAGTGAATCAACCAAGCAAATCAGCTATTCGATAAAATTATACAGCGGCAACCCTATAGATTGTTGAAAACCTATTACCGCAAGAAGATTAAAATAATAAATATTGAAGATTAAAGTTACCAGGAGCAAGAAAGTTGAGCAACCAAACAAAAATCTTAAATCCCGCTGGTAGATGGATCGAGCGAGAGGAAATTTAGCCGATCGAGCGTGGAAGCTTGAATTGGGGGAGCGAGTGGAACGATCTAGCGACTGTGATCGAGCGATTGAATTCTCTGAGAATCCTTTTCGCATCCAGCTATGATTGGAAGGGTTGAGCGAGAGGTGTGGAATGATCGAGAGATTGAATCCTTGAGGATCCTTTGCCGCCAAGAACGATAGAGGATTGTTCGCAGCCCGATATTATGGTTAAGTAAAGATGGACTGATGAATTAGGGCAATTGATTAGCGGAGCGGAGGTTTAATATATTAAGCGCGCCAGACAGAATAATAGAATTTCAATTGGAATTTTGGCGGTATACTTAGTTTTTAATTAATTTTATTTTACTATTCCTGATTACAGTGGCGGATCTTGGATGTTAGTTTTGAAGGTTCAAATTTATTTTATAAAATTTGGGTGTTCATATACATATAGAAAATTTTACAATAGCACCCATATACATGTATTTTTACACTACTAGTTATAAAATTTGGGTGTTCACATGAACACCTTTGACCTATAATAGGTCCGCCCCTGCCTGATTAGAGTTTTCCCAGAATTATTTTAAGAAATAATATGTGAAATAAATTAATTAGAATAACGATGATTACAAATTGATTAATAACGACGACTTTTCAAATATGGTCGTTATATATAAATTTGATAACGACGAACTCAATAGTTAATGTTAAAAAGTACTTTTAACGACAAATTATGAGAGTTGTCGTTATATATTGGTCGTTAAAACTCAATTTTCTGGTAGTGTTATATTCCTATGTGCTTTACTTATTATAAATAAAAAATGATATTCTATTAGGAAATGATGGTGGTACACAATAGCAAAAGAGAGTACAATTGACTCCTTTTTGAGAATATAAATATTATATTCCTATGTTTCCTTTATGAAATTATTTTACATCTAGTTATAGCAATGTTCCCTCAATGATAATAGTGTTAGCCTAAAAAAGAAACTGGGGTATAGAATAAGTTCGGCCATATATAGAAAACTTTTACATGATGACCAAATAGTCGAGTTGGTGTCTTGGTGATGTGTATGCAAACCTATTTTTTACCCCAAGGGGCGTCGGGGGAGGGGGTTTGGGGGCCTGGGGTAAACTGGGATCAATCTCACTTCATTGAGATTTGAATCCGGGATCTCCCATAAGAGAGAGTGAGTCGGCAACCAGCTGAATTGGACCGCTTTATCGTGTATGCAAACCTTAATATGCATCCATGGTTTGAAAAGTTTTTTTTAAATAGGCCAGTTAAGTTAAATTATTGGTTTTCAAGGAACATGAGTCCAGACGTCCAGACCTAGTTAGAGCAGACCGGCCACCGGTTTATAGCAAGTTTACACTACTTGGCAGGTTTGCACTCAACTAGTCCAATTCTAGGGCAGGTAAGAGAGGGTTTAGCTTGACATGTGTGTTGCAATGTAAAAACGTGATTACAAAATAGTGATTTTAATTATATTAAATTTAAACATAACCAAAAAGTGTTATTTCAAAAAATGTAACAATGTGTTCGAAATTTTGCAACAAGATTAAAATTAGTATGTATGAATTTGAAGTGCTTCATTTACAAGGAAAAAAAATTGCAATTTAAAATTAAAGAGTTAATATTTAACACAAAATAAATATTTATTTTTAGTTCTTTATTTTTTTAATTAAATATGAAATTTCAATTTACATTTTTTTTTATTTATTTAAAGTCACTAAGGGTAAATTTACTCCTTTATAGGAACATTAAGGAAATTTGTGCACCTTTTAGAAATTTAGGAGTATATCTGCACGTCAACATATGATACTTCCGGGGTAAAGTCTCAAGAATAAATTTTTTTAAATATTTTAAATTATACTAATACATCACGGGTTATCTCATTTGGCATATTTCATAATTATAATTATTATTTTTACTGATTTTTTACTTTTCATAATAGCATTTCAAGTTAAGGTACGAAATACTCCGTACTACGTATGCTTCATAATTAATATGTAAGAAATATTTTTAAATTTAGCTTTAAAAATGTATTAAGTCAATTTACTCCTCAAAGTACACTGAGATGGTTTTGCACAATTTCCATTAAAAAAAACTTTTCTATGTGCAACAAAAGTTGTCGATTAGATTTAGATTTCAGTATCACATGAAAATTGATGGAGTGAAATCATCTTCTTCGGACATGATCCCAAAAAGATTTAGTGGGACTTGGATTTTACATAAAGTGCACCTGAATTGATTATTATTAATAATAATTGTGCTAAACAAAACAAGATACAAAAAGTGGAATGGAGGTAGTAAAAGTCAAGATATATAAAAATGAAACGGGTTTTAGTAAAAGTTAAATTTATGTGTTTAATTTTAGTCTTATCTAATTCAGTGAGAATTGATTTGTATGATTTGATATATACATTTTTATGTGATCCATGTCTTATCCGGTCGATATATCTAATTTAGTTTGATGTGTTTTTGAAAGTCTTTTGAGTTAATTATCAAAATAGGACTAAAAGTCATTCGCTTTGCACAAATAGGACCAAAAAATAAACTATGTTTTCATAGGACTAATTATGTTTGTCTTGGACAAATATACCCTTATACCTATTGGAATGTTTTAATTCATAATAAAATAATAAAAAATAATAAAAATTCGTAAAATATACCAAAAAATTAATAAAAATATTCTGAATAATAATAAATTTAAAAAAAAATTAAAAAAAATAAAAATAAAAAAAATTAAAAAAATTAAAAAAAAATCAAAAAAATATTTTTTTTGTCACCGCCGCCTATACCGCCCCAGCACCACCACCTCTAGTCATTTGGGGAAAAAATGCCAAATTTATTATGAATTCCATATTTTTGGCATAATTCAGAATGATTTAAGATGGAAGAAAAAAAAATGTTGGCATTCTCAAAGAGAAATATGCCATATTTTTGGCATTTTCCGAAAAAAAAATGGAAGTTTGTAGGAAATATGACATTTTTTTAACGGTCGGAGGTGGTGGTGCAGGGAGGCGGTACCACCACCTCCTGTCACCGGGGTAAAAAAATGCCAAAAAAATTATGAATGCCATATTTTTGACAAAAGTCAAAAGGATTCAAGTTGGCAGAATGAAAATGTTGGC